TTTTCAAGCTGATTTTGTTTTATTTTGATGGCACGCTTGTGTACCACGCCACGACGTTGGTCGTTAAGTGGTGTTCATTTTTCTAACTACTCCAGTGTTCCGATGAGTTGAACGGAAAAGCCAAAACGATTGCTGGTTTCTGATTGCTTCGGTTCTGGTGAGTGTGTATCTAGTGTGATTCGAACCCATGTCGTTTGTGTTGGGCGTTTTTTTCATTTTCCATGTTAGCTACGCCGTAATATGCAACCACTTCCCCGTTTTATTGTGATTTTGAGTGTTTAATGATGTCTTCCTCACCCGTCACGCCATGACCCAGTTTCAACCACACGGCCATTTTGCAACACAGTTCGTGACCCTCGGCGTCACCCGACTGACTATATGAGCGTTCTGTTCAACTGTTAAGCTAGGATTTATTACCGTTATTATCATTATATTGTCACGTGATTTGTTTTACCTTATGTGTAATGTCTTAAGTATCTTTATTGTAATTTGTATATACCAATTCGTATATACCGAGGAAACGACCCCGATTGAAGGTCATGTATTTTATGACGTCACCAATTCGTGTGTAGGTACTGCTTCTAGATCTGTGCCCGCGAATGTGCCCCCTATTTGATGTAAACCGGGCGTGAACTCTTAAAAACTTGACGGAAACCTTCCTGAAATAACCATAATATTTGATAATAAACAAATGATGATTGGACAAAACATACCTCGTTAGACTTTGATCCACGGATGATCTGACGGACTAGCGAACCTGAGTCGTTAACATTTTCTTGAATTTTAGGAGGTAAGCGAGGATCCACCATTCGGGAAGAAGCCATTTTATTTTGTAAATACAAGTACTGGGACTCGAGTACTCTTTTACGGTAAGTGTATTTGAACAACTAGTATAATTTGTTCTTGAAAAAAAAACACGGATATAATCATGATGGAATTCAAACTACAAGTATTTTAGGTCAGGTGCTTTTTGCATTTGTGTGTATTTGATCGACGCGGTTTTATTTACGTCCTTTGAATTACTGTTGACAGTTTTGCGGCAAGTTAAGGGTCACTCAACCAAAATGGTGGACAAAAGCAAACACGGAATTGCTGTCTCTGCATTTTCACTACTAATAATGTTTGGAGGGTGTGGGTCTGGTTAGTTTTATGACAAGAAGGAAACGAGGTAAGTAGTGCTACTTTTATATATCTGTGTGTATGTCTTCGTACGGAGAGAATGTCTTCTCGTCGAATCGTAGGCTTGCCTCCAGATCAACAACAGACATGTACACAGGGCTAGTGAATTCTCCCATTTTGAGAGATAGTCTAAGTTTTGGGGAACGGTACCTTCTGACTATATTCTTCAGTACTGTTCGTGGGTTAATAAATTTGATTCAATATGACAAAAAAACAACAACGAGTGTGTGGTTATGGTCTCTGTGACTGCTACACAGACCAGCGCCTAATTATTTGTTCAGATCACACACAAGCTTCTTAATAATAATCTGTGAATGACATTAAAGACATTATATATTTTATCTTTCTTCCACCATCTCTAGTGATCTGTGTGTGGTTTATCAGCATGTCTTCCACATTAGATCACACAGTGTGTGTGACATTGGCTGGTCTTGTAGAAGAGCTCACAACATCTGGATCACAGACTCTAGACAAAGAAAAAATCAAGAAAATTAAAAATATTTGCAGGTGAGTTTACCAGTTACTGTTTGTTTTAATCATTTATAAACATACTATTTGAAATTTCAGAACAGTATATATGAAGCTTGTGCTTGTGTTAATATATTTGGTTAATTTGAAAACTATGAGGTCACACATTTATATTTAGATTTTTTCCAAAATATTGGAAAAATGAAAGAATGTTCATGTGATTAAAAATAAATGAATAAGATAAAATATCACCCCATTACTGGTTGTTGCTATGTGTAGTATGGGTCCCATAACAATTACTCTCCTGTAATATGGATCAGTTGTGTTATATTAACAAGGTCACAATTAATTAAGCATATTATAATAAAGTTTATTGCAAGAAAGTCCTAGTAATTATCACCACCTTGCCTAATTATACCAAGCTGTTAGAGCATGGAAATGTATAATAATAAAATCGTTACAGGATAACTGCAAAGTACATGTTGGGCAGTATTCTCATCATTGTTTTCATGTTTACTTCGTGGCTTACTCATAATTATGGTATCTCATATTATTATATGTCTTCATTTCATTCTAATTTGATAACATGGTTAAAATTTAATTTCAGTTCAATATCAATGTTTGTATTACAATAAAATAACATTTGTCCTGTCGGGCTGATAACAAATACCCATACTCTGGCATAGTAGAGATTAATTAAAATTCATACTTTATAAATTTGCATAATTGATACTAAAATTTTGGTGTTGAAAATCTGAAAATCACATGTAAAAAATGGAAAACATTACGCATTTTTAATTTTTATTTTGTACAATTTATTGAGATTATTCAATACTTCAACAAACGGCTGTACATTTAAAACATTTATAAATTAATGCTTTTGAAGTATTGAAAAGTGATTTGACAAAACATTACATCCTATAAAACCAAAAACAAACATTATCCTATTCTACTTTGTATTGCAAACTTCACTGGTGTGATTTTCAAATTGATATGCACCATGGAGAGAAGCAAAATACTTTTTACCTTGCCCGTACCATCAAAGATGGAAGGGAAAGGTATATTAAGGGAAAAATTTTGTCCGGCGTTGTCGTTGTTGTTGTCGTCGTCGTCGTTAATAATTGTTATTGTGTGCATAATAACTTTACTAATTCTATTCCAAACTTTATCAAACTTGGTCACCTTATTCATCAGTATAAGGTCTTCCCTGAGTTTGAACAACAGATGTCCTGTATGAAAATATCATGCAAAAATTGAGAAAATCTGATAAAATATTTTGACTGTTTCTACTTGACTGATCACTGGTGATACACATCAAAGGTCACTGATCTCAGTGGTAATATGCATTGTTGTATGTATTCAATGAAGCAAATGATTTATCTTGTAATAATATCCTTGGTAATGCATCTCAGAATCCCATACTGGGTTTCAAAACCAACTCATGGAGAGATTGCACAGTCTGATACACATTTGCAAACCTACCAATAAAATGTTTACAGAAAACAAGATGTCAGAAAATCAGTATAAGCACTCCTATGAACTGGGTGCCTAACTTTGATCAAGATCTAAAGCTAAAAGAAAATCTGTTTAGTTCAAAGTTATCAAATCAAAAACAATACATAAAAAATACATTAAAAGCAAAACATTTCATCCACATTTTAAAAAGAAAATTATTCTAAAATATATGTATTCTGTATTTGACAAACAGTTCATTCGACAAATGAAAACTCACAGGAATATGTTTCAGCTATTAGAACAGAATGATAAAGTTTTTATAATACTAGTTTAAAAACGCACTTCAGAGATTGCAGTGTTTGAAGATGTAGATTCTCAGGAGGCAACAGTACTGTTGACTTCTCCCTCCACTGGACACCAACTATTTAAGTTGACTTGCATACAAAGCAGAGCTTGCAACATGATAGCTATTCATAAAGGGTGTTTTGTTTACTTTTCATATAATACAGTAGTCATACTTTTCATATAATACAGGCAGTTCATATTTGTCTCAGTGAATCATTCATTTTTGACAGACACTTGTACAAAATACTTGGACTAAAGCCAGCTAAATTTTTCTGTTATCTTGCATGTTTTATGAATCTATTCACATCTAAATGCAGCACTTTTTTTTTGCAATGAGACATTTGTTTTTATTCTAAAATATCTCAATTACTTTCAATAAAGCTGGAAATTATGTTCCTTAAAATAATTAAACAAATAAGGCACAATGTTTTTGTAAGATATTTACATCTATCAAGGACATTCGGTAGACTGATTCCCCACTGTTGGTTCAACCCCAAAACTTGTTTGTATTCAAAATTAATTATGACAATGCATATTTATATTGAAACAAACTATGATAAAGGGAATTATATTATATAACAAAGGGCAAGGTCACCAAAGTTCAACTATGTTTTTTATGTCTAAAATAGAGAAATATACTGTAACCAATTTAAGATACAAGAGATGAATTTTACAAATCACAAAATATTGTCAAGCAATGGTAATTTCACTGGGGTTCTTAGAACAATACTTCACAGTGACTTTACATTTTTGTTAATGTATGCTCTAAAATGACATAAATTTCTATCGGCAAAACATTTAGTAGTTTTCAGTATTCAAGTCATAAATATTTGAGATTTTATCGGTTACTTTACAGAACATCAGATGCCTATGTGGAGCATGTTTTTGATCTGGTAATGAAACAGTTAGACAAAGAACATTCAGAAGTCAGATTATCCGCATTCCAGATTACCAATGAATTATTTATGAGATCTCATAAATTCCGGGAATTATTGGTGGATGATTTCCAGACATTCTTAGAATTGACAGTGGAAACAGACCATGAACAGCCACTGCCACCTCCAAAAATATCTGCCAAGATGTTGAGGGAAAAGACGCTAGAAGCAGTGCAGATATGGAATGAGAAATATGGCAAGGCTTACAAGAAACTGGCTTTAGGTTACAACTTCCTCAAGCACTGTAAAAAAGTAAGTAATATTTTTTGGTTGTTTATTGATCAGCATCATTGTAAATGAGAGTCAACATGATAATTTAATTATCTTGTCTCACAACCTACTGTAAAAGAATTAATTTTTCACTGAGTTTTAATTTTGCTATTTTCTATGATAAGTAAATTTAGCTAAATTAAATCTATGCAATCATGTTAAATTGCAATGTAACTCATTGTTTTGCTGGCAAATTAGTGAATTTAAAACGTATTTTACATTCCATCAATATTAATGATGTATGGGTACTTTAATTTGAACACATTGTTTAAAATTAAAAAAGTTGGTTATTTATAGTTATATTATGTCTAGGGGTATTCTTAATAATGTGACCCCCTTTAAGTGACAAAACTGATGTGTTTGTACATTCAGATTGACTTTAATGACATCCATGCAAGAACTGTTGTTGAACGACAAAGAGAAGAAGAAAGACAAACAAAACAAAGGACTATTTTATTGGAAAAGGCTAATGCAGCTATCAAAGAAATAGAAGGTAAAATCTGTAGTGTCATTTGCAGAGCATACAAGTTTTTGTTTTCTCCTTCTGTAATTATTATCAGTGACTAATTTAATTTGATATGTTTTGTTTGATTTTCAGAAACAATGCCAGACATAGAGCAGTGTTTAACCCAATCAGATAACTGTTTTCAGTTGTTACTTCCTCATCCAGACGAGTATGATATTCTAACTCCTGATACAGAAAACACTCAGGGAATTAATACAGCTAGTAGCAGTCAGCAAACTGGGTCAAATCTTATGGTAGAAAAATGTCAGAATGATAATACAGATATAGCACATCAAAAGAAAGAAACCAGTAATGTGAATTGTGAAGTAGTAAAACCATGTAATAAGGATGATGATGGTAATGACATTCAAAATTTAGAGAAAGGTATTGTGGAATACTCAGGAAAGCTGACAAATGGAACTGCACAGATTGAACAGAAAAACAAATTTAATACCTCACATGCTAAGGGTGGTAATAATGATGATGAAGCTGAGGACAAGGAGGAGCAGGAGGAAAAAGAAGAAGAAGATGAAGATGGTGATGATGATGATGATGAAGAAGAAGAAGATTTTGAAGATGTCTCAAATACTGAAGCCACCTCAATGTTACAAGACCATGGTATGGTGGCCTGGAATTACAATCTCAGCATTGAAGTCAATCCAGGTATATGCACATGCATTGTACATTCTATTGTACTGGGTTTATAACTTGACTTACTCCTGAGAATAATTTCATAATACTATGCCAAGGTTTCTGTGTGATGGTTGGTACATTCTGAATGGAGGTTGTGAAAATGTTTAATTACATTATATCGTTTTTTTTTAAAATTTTACTGCAGATGCTATTCACATCAAAGAAGATGAAGACAACACGGATATATTACAAACATTATATGACATGCAAAGACTAGCTATGACTAAATATCATCCACAAATACAGAAATGGCTCGAGGTGAGTCTTCCTATGAATAATTAATATGCCTATATACTGTATAATCACTAAATTTCAATGATTTACCATTTCAGGCATATTCCGTGGGTTTTAAATTCACGATTTTATCATTTAGATAATGTGTTCTATGCTAAATTTTACATATTCACTGGTTTTTAATTTAGCGCATTTCCAGTTAGCGCAATGAGTAGAATTAAAACCCAGTGAATAATTAATCCTTTTACAGTATGGCAATAACAGTAATTATATATTAGGCCACACCGACTTAATTTTATGGATGACATCCGCGCGCGCATTAGTTTTTGCCTGTTCTCAAAAAAAAAAAAAAAATATTCCGACGACAAGTCTCCGCATATCGGTTTTCTGACCGGAACTTGCTGACTCATATTGTCGCAAAGCGCCGGCTTGTCGTAAAACTCGTTTTGGACTACCTCCAAACGTGCCAATTTTGTTGTAAATGATCTTCTGCACATGCGTATTGTGTTGCAGGGAATTCCAACATTCCAACAACTACCCCACCAAAATACGTGAGCATATAAGTTCAGAGAAAAAACGGAGGGATTGTTGTTGACTGGTACGCAATTGACATCGGCCAGGGAGAGTCCTGTGGATTTAGCAGGATTTTTTTTTTTGGCAAGATTTTTTTTTTTCGCCCTCTCGCATTAGTTTTGGGGTCTCCAGAGGATGTCATCCATAAAATTAAATCAGTGTAGCCTTATGTGGTGGAAATTGTTAATTATTAGTTATGTTTGGTGTCAAAGTTGTATGTATGCTAAATAAAACAGTTATTAAGTTTGATCTATTCACATTGTAGCTCCAGAAAAGTTTTTATATACACCAAACACACACCATTCCATTTATGCTTTCAGGTCATTTATGTTAACCCATGTAATTCTAATAGAGTAAATAATTATAATATGTTGTGACAAAGTTGGTTTTATGGTGACTGTGTATTTCGCAGGGCTTTATTATATCACATACGTTGTCATGATGGACCATGTCAGTCTATTTTAGTATAAACAAAGTTCAGTTTGTTATAAAACTCGTGTTTATATTTAGATTTTAAGTAAAGCTGGTGTTGCAATTGACATGGTGAAGAAACTTATTGATATAAAACAAGCACTGGAGTCTATTAAAGAGAAAACAAATGACCTGAGAATTCAACGAAAACCTAGAGAGATAATCAGAGGTGACAGTGACAGTGACAGTGACGAGGATTTTGAAGACGTGCCTGAAAAAGAAGGATATGAACCAAGGATACCTGATCATCTTAGAAAAGAATATGGTATGCTGATTCTGAATGATCTTAGTATTTTCATTTTTAGAGGTTATAAACGGCAAGCGAGGGTATTTGGTAGCAGATCAATCTGATTAAAATCTGATGTAGTGTACAGGCTTTAATTATTTTGGCCATAAATTATTTTAATTTTATTTTTATTATTAATGCCTTTTTTTATTATTTTACTTTGATTTTGATTTTGTGATTTTTTTTTTAATTCCGCCCTACCTACATCTGATCCAACGCCTATGTAAGTCCTGTTCAAATCTCGCGTAAGTAACAGCCAATCACAGCCCCCTTGAATAAACCATTAATAGAACATTGCTAGTATATTTTTATTTACAAAAGAAATTCCACAGCATTTTACAATTTTTGTCATTACATTGAATATTTTTTCGACTTCCAACAAATGTGTACACTTCCAGATACATCTTCACCAGCGAAGGTTCGTTCATTCAGTCATCGCTTCAATTTTACATCAAACATTGAGCATAATTATCTCATACAATAATATTAGTTTTCCTGTTTTGATCAGTTGATCAACAGCCACTAGTGCTCACAGTCGTGTGATCGTGATTCAGTTAGATATTTAAACAGTTTATATAATATTACATTTTGATGCTACATGTATTAAGATTCAAAAAATAATCAGGGTTAGAAATGTATTGTAAAATTGTCAAAATTTGCATTTCTGCACTGATTTTCATAGTCAGACTGATTTTTCATATCACAGAATTTTGTTTGGTGACACAGGATGAAAAAAACATATTTTCGCTTACGTAACTTACCGAGGTGTTTCTATCATCAAAATAAATAATACAACCATGAGAATATAGCCTGTCGTAGTGATTGGTTGGCAAGAAATGGCGTTGTTCATTGTTGTTTACATTAAATATACATGCATGTGTCTCAGTTAAGAAAACAACTTGGGGACAACGTAGTCACACCATATCATGAGCAATAACTGATTGGTAAGCGACATTTGTTATCAGACATTTGCATGCTGGTTGGCAAAACAGTAAACTTATGATTACACAGTGCTATGGCCCAAAGTCTAGTATGAATTCTGTCAACATGAATAAACAACAATCATGTCACTTGTGTTCTCAAGGTCTTGATTGCGATGACAGCAACAGTCTGTCACAGAAGACAAAATCACAAGATGATGAGTTACAGGACCCTACATCAAGAGCAGCATCAGTTGCACACTTCAAGGAAAAACTCAGTGAATTGCAAGACAAGTTGAAAAACAAGTAAGTATAATTCAAGATAACTTACCAAAAGTGTAAGATCTAAAGGCATTGATGGATTTATTAGTAGCTTTATAGTTATGATGTACACACTTTGTTCTTTCAGAGAAATTGATTCATTTCATGAAAGAGATCCTGAACCGTCAACATCACAAAGTCCATCTAAAAAGAGAAAAGCTGAACTTCTTTCCAGGGCACCTAAAGTGCCATATGGATTGGATCTGTATTACTGGGATAGACCTGAAGATATTGTAGCTCCAAAAATTGTACGGTTAGTTCTTCCTCTTTATTAGTTGTTGCATGGTATGCATGTAAAAAATGTGTTCTATTGTATGAAAATCAGAATTGGTGCAATTATTGGCCTGAAAAGGACCCTTTGGTTTGTGCCGTTCCTCCACACTCTCTTTACCTTTCAAATATTGCGATCACCAGTTTTTAGAACACTGTATTTTAGCATTGTGATAATTTACTTCTGTATTGCATTAAAAAAATTTCATTTTCAATATTCATACATCGGTACAACACATCATTCTGATTGGCTAATAACAGACTTAACCTGTCAGGTCAGAGAATGTTGTTTTAGGTCAAATCATGCAGAAAAAAGATGAGACGCAGATCTTGTCTTCAACTGTTTTTTCACAGACTAATAATAATTTTTACTCCATAAATTCAGATGGTATGTAAATGCTATTGTAATAAAATGTACAAATGTTTTGGGAACATTCATTTCTCAATTTTATTTTTCCCCCAAATCATAATAACCCCTAATCCAGTACACAGTGAATGAAGATGTCATTTGCAACATGTTTTTGAGAAGGTAACATGGTTACAATGTTAAACAGAAAAATCTTCATCTGTTCTGAGGTGGTGCTTGGGTATTCGTCCATCTTTTATTTTTACATGCTGAGGTCCCTTCACTATACCAGAGAAGTAGTCTTGTAATCATAATGTATCAAGAAATAAACTGTAAATACAAGTGAAAAACGAGCAAATGTGTTTAACAAGATTTTTGCCTAGTAATCATTTTCATTTAGTGACAAGACTGTCCCATATAATCTGTTGTAAGAAAAGCCTATAGCACACTTGAATGAGTTTTGTTCAAACCAAGTTATTTGCTGCATAGCTGATGCACTTTATTCATTTCATAATGTTATCGTAGGGTAAACTGAAATGAATGTTTACATTTTGTGGTGTTTTTCAGACCTGAGTCTCAACACAGATTTTGGGTACCAGTAGAAAATGACGAAATTGTGTTAGAGGTAAGATTTTGGTTATTATTTGTTAGACAGTAAATAGTCCTACATATTAAAATTCTATTAAATGTTTTTGTTTTTTATGAAGCAAAAACATGTTTGTCAATCTCATCTGTATGCGTTGATTATCACACTCTGGTGGTGAATCTGTGATATACTTTTGTTTTTACAGGGCATGAAGGATATGGTCACAGAACGTGCCATTCAGTTTTCAGGTAAATTTGAACCTGTTAAATGGAAATGCAGAGCACCATTGATGAATGGTAAACTATGTGAGCGTCAAGACAGATATAAGGTACATAGCAACAGTGGTTGTTAAGCATAGAATTTATTCTGTAAAAATATTAAGCCACTGCTTCAGTTTTGCACTGATCAGTTTATGCAAATGAGGAAATGTCAGGTGATACACATTGGCCAATCAATATACTGTATTTAATTCATTCATTTCTTTTCAGTTTATGCAAATGTCTGGTGATATAAATTGGCCAATCAATGTAATCTATTTATTTTTGTTCACTTTAAGCAAATGAGGCGATGTCACGTGATACACATGGGAATTGTCTTATAAACTAACTTTTTCCTTCCACTCATCAGTGCCCTTTCCATGGTAGTATAATTCCTAGGGATACTGAGGGTACACCTGCAAAGCAAGAAGATATAGAAAAAGAAGAGAGAAGAAAAGGTATTCGTATATCCTTGAATAATTTCAATTAGTCTCCTGTAATTTTAGTAAAACAACTTTTTGGCTTGTCACTAGTGTTCATACAGTCTAACTTAAGATAGCAGATGGTTTTTGTTCAGCATTTATGGAGAAGGTACTTTTTCTTAGTTCAAAACAATACCCGCTTACTAGTTTTTTTGTTCTTTAAAACTATTATCTATGTACGAGGGGACTGTTTTTCAGAACTAGGTTGACACAAGGAAAGAGCAAAGAAGTGAATGAGCTAAGCAGGTGGTTTGTGATTGATAGCAACACGTAATATACTATGTGCATAAATCAATTAGTTTAGGGTTTTGGTTCTAGTAAAGGTGCTGGCATCGATTTTTGCTGACAAGGTTAAGCAATGATCGATCATCACAGGCTTTATTGCAAGTTAAGAATGCTGTGTTCTGTTGAAACTGTTGAGCTTCGCTTAGCAAATTATTACCAAAGACGCAGTCTGAAAACAGGGACTTATGTTTTGATCTCTGTGTGTCTGTGCGTGCGTGTGTGCGTGCATCCGGACCTGTATCTTAGAAATGCCTGGACCAATCACAATCAAACTTCACACATACATCATACATGATAGTATACATATGCACGTCAATTTGTTTCATGATCTGATTCAAGATGACCGAATGGCGGCCATTTTTGTGCTAAAAAATCCTAAAAATCAAGCATTTCTCAGCTGTTTAAAGATGGATTTTGTTCAAACTTGATATATACATTAGACATTATGAAACCTTGATGCAAATAATTTTGTTTTTCAGATAAGATTCAAAATGGCCGATTGGCGGCCATTTTGTTTTAATGACTTAATCTCCGACTTATTTTGACTGATTATATTCAAATTTTAAATATTCATTATACATCATGTCATAGATAAACAGATTTATTGGTTTGACGATCCTATTCAAAATGGCCGAATATTGGTCATTTTTGTGCTAAAAATCATCAAATATCAAGCATTTCTGGCATTTATGGATGGATTTCGTTCAAACTTGGTACATACATTAGACATTAAGGGTTCCGGATGCACGTCATTTTATTTTTCAGATTGGATTCAAAATGGCTGACTGGCGGCCATTTTGTTTTAATGATTGGGTTTCCAGAGCCATATCTCTGAAATGCTTTGACTGATTATATTCAAATTTTATATATTCGTTATACATCACGTTATATATATACATGTATTCAAAATGGCTGATTTTGAATGCTGTTCCAGAGCAATATCTCTTGATATGGACAAGTACTTGTTTGACGATCAGATACAAATGTCAATCATTTTAATGTTAAAAAATCATATTCCTGACATGGTTATATTCCAGCTACACTGTAGCCTTGCTATAACGAACTCTTTGGGAGACATACAATTAGTTTGTTATAGTGAAATGTTCACTATAATGAAGTACATAATACATTGGGTTTGTTGTGAGAGGGAGACACGCTATGTGTTCATTATATCAGGAAGTTCATTATAACGGTGTTCATTATACTGAGGTTACAGTGTATATTACTATAAACAAAACTATATGTCTTAAATTTGATAACTAACGGGGACTGTGCCATGCATGGCTTGTTCTTTGATGCATTGTTATAGTTCAGGATTTGTGTAATTTTACTGCTTTGTTGTGTTGACACAGCTCAAGTAGCGTCTACTTCTGAATGGCGAGATACTGAGCTTATGAAAGACATTGAGACAGCCACTGGAATAGACTTAGGGTCTGCAAGTACTAGAGGCAAAGGAAAGGGAAAGGGAAAAGGCAAAGGAAAGAAAAAGAAATATCCAAATTTGACAGATATCAAAAAACAATCTAATACATCGAGGAGAAGGCTGGAAAAGAAAGTTATGAACAAGTAAGTTGTTGGATCACATGCTTGGTAATGTAGAGGGTGCTGTGAGTGGTTGCATCACATGCTTAATATTGTAGAGGGTGCTGCGAGTTGTTGGATAACATGCTTGGTAATGTAGAGGGTGCTGTGAGTGGTTGCATCACATGCTTAGTATTGTAGAGGGTGCTGTGAGTGGTTGCATCACATGCTTAGTATTGTAGAGGCTGCTGTAAGTTGTTGGATCATATGTTTGGTAATGTAGAGGGTGCTGTGAGTGGTTGCATCACATGCTTAGTATTGTAGAGGCTGCTGTGAGTGGTTGCATCACATGCTTAGTATTGTAGAGGCTGCTGTGAGTTGTTGGATCATATGTTTGGTAATGTAGAGGGTGCTGTGAGTGGTTGCATCACATGCTTAGTATTGTAGAGGGTGCTGTGAGTGGTTGCATCACATGCTTGGTAATGTAGAGGGTGCTGTGAGTGGTTGCATCACATGCTTAATATTGTAGAGGGTGCTGCGAGTGGTTGCATCACATGCTTAGTATTGTAGAGGGTGCTGTGAGTGGTTGCATCACATGCTTAGTATTGTAGAGGGTGCTGTGAGTTGTTGGATCATATGTTTGGTAATGTAGAGGGTGCTGTGAGTGGTTGCATCACATGCTTAGTATTGTAGAGGGTGCTGTGAGTGGTTGCATCACATGCTTGGTAATGTAGAGGGTGCTGTGAGTGGTTGCATCACATGCTTAATATTGTAGAGGGTGCTGCGAGTGGTTGCATCACATGCTTAGTATTGTAGAGGGTGCTGTGAGTTGTTGGATCATATGTTTGGTAATGTAGCACAGTCACCTGGGGGCTGAAAATCAATAAATACTTATTTTAAAAAAAAATCATCCGCTATACGTATATAAATAAACAAGTTGTGAAACATGGCACCTAGTAAATCGACACCCTGTCGGTTTCAAATTTCGATTTCTTACCTTAAAATGCGAAACAAAATGTTTATAGGGGATCAGGTGTTACGTTAATAACCATTGTTCATAATCGCTAACTTGGTTTTATTCAAAACTGCACAAATCCCGCGTTTTCTGATGATATCCGACGATTTCATGAACGAAAATGGCCAGCAGCCAGAATCAAGGGGGATTCGCACAGAGTTGTGGGTAAATCAAGGAAATACTCGCTGTTACGGCACGCCTGATTGGCCTGATTTTTTAAATTAGTATTTATTGATTTTCAGCCCCCAAGTGACTGTGTAATGTAGAGGGTGCTGTGAGTGGTTGCATCACATGCTTAGTATTGTAGAGGGTGCTGTGAGTGGTTGCATCACATGCTTAGTATTGTAGAGGGTGCTGTGAGTGGTTGCATCACATGCTTAGTATTGTAGAGGGTGCTGTAAGTTGTTGGATCATATGTTTGGTATTTTAGAGATTGATGTGAGTTGTTTATAAATAAAATCTTTTAAATTAAATCTACGTGGACTTGTAAAATAACTATAAAACTTATTGTTTCTTCAACAAATTTGTGAAATTAAAACACATTGAATATGCTCAACGCATCAAAATAGTGAAAATAAATGGTTTTACAGTATTTCTTTTTAGTATAATAGAGGCCGCTCTGTATGCTCTTGTTTACATATCAAATCCATGATTATTGTCGCATACGACTTATTTACCACTTCCGTGTCACTGAGAATGTTCTAGAACCGTACTGTGTCTGGGTGGAATATTCTAGATTTTTTTTTGAAACTGGTTGAATAGGTAATAGAACACTGTAGGAGGCAATAGAAGGAAATGGAACATTCTAGAAATTGGTAGTAAGTTCCAGACTCATTATGTATGCGGATGTAATGGTCTATTTATTGACAGTGGGGGTATATATATAGGGGAGTTGTTCAGCACTGAGATCAGATCGGAGATCTCGTTGAATTGTATTGGAGTATCTAGTTATTGGAGGTTTGGAGTTTTACCGCGTTATTGTACTTGATGTTTGCAGAGTATAATAATACCAGTACCAGTTGAAACCTCATCTGTTGGCTCCGTGTTCGTATTTTATCATCGCCGCCAGGGAAGTCTTTATGTTACTGTTGCCATTTTGGTATTTGAACCATCACACCTGTACTATACCAATTACGGTAATATTATGTTGCATGTGACAATTATCAATACTGTGGGTTTGTTGATACCGGTATTACCCTGACCTTTTAAATGAGTTGATAATGTTTGTAACTATGTCATCTTGTCTTTCTTTTCTAGAAATGCCTTGTCCAGGGTGGCTGGTTCTTTGGATGCTTTTGATTCAAAGAGATATAAAGAAAAATTTGGCAACAATTTCAACTATGCTTATACATCGTGATCTTAAATTTATGGTTGATGTATTTTCAACTTTTTAACTCATGCATAATACAGCCTCTATATATATGTATAGTATCAACTAGCCACACAAACTTATAGGGCTGTAGTCGCCGTGCCACACATGCGCAAGGTATAGGGGTCTCATATAAACAAAGATGGCGACTTTGACTGTTGCAAAGATCAACAAGTACAAACTGAGACATTTCCAGGCTTTAATTGAGTATTTTTCAAGTGATTTGAAGATATCAAAAGAGTCATCGGCAGTAATTAGTGCAAGTTGTGCCCAAGTCAAACCTCATACTTGCGATTTCCATTAGAATGATACATTCAATAATGTCAGTGTTTTGCCTGTACATAGACCAATTCAATCAAGTAACTACTTACTATTCCTGTCTAGTCTTGTTAGATATTTTGAGGAATATTTTAGTAACTATTATGATGTGACTAGTTATGGACCAGGATAAACAAGATTTGGTGTAAATGTATTTGATAAAATACTCTGACAACAATATAGTGTGGTGAATGAATACTTGGGGAACTGAGATTATTACATGACGAGCTATGAACAAGATGGTGGATTTGATGAAGTACTCTGACAAAAATATCACATGGCACTGAAACCTAAAATCGTCTATGGGATGAACAAAATGGTGGATTTGATGAAGTACTCTGACAACAATATCACATGGCACTAAAACCTAAAATCGTCTATGGGATGAACAAAATGGTGGATTTGATGAAGTACTCTGACAACAATATCACATGGCACTAAAACCTAAAATCGTCTATGGGATGAACAAAATGGTGGATTTGATGAAGTACACTGACAACAATATCACATGGCACTAAAACCTAAAATCGTCTATGGGATGAACAAAATGGTGGATTTGATGAAGTACTCTGACAACAATATCACAATATATCCTGCAAATAATCAAGCAATAAACAAACTTTACTAAAAGCGAATAAATCATTTCCAAACCAATGTTTTTTGTTTATAGATTGTCTGTTTAGATTTTCTGTGTCCCAATGTTGACACAAGGTGTAAATCTTCTTACATTTTACACAAAAATATAAAAGTGAGAATTCAGGTCCTGACGATGTAGGAATTCTGGTTACCATATGATAGATACTATGTGTTAATCAAGTATTAATTTTTAAAATTTGATATCGAGAAGTAATACTTCACTTGACGTGAACTGTCTATTTATATATTTATATATTTATGAAAACAGCTATGTTGTGTAACAATTTTCAACTCAAAAGTGTGATGAAATAAAACAATTTTATACATAACTATTCATTTATTTATTTTCTGAGAAAACTAAGGGCAATGTCATATATAAATATGGATGTCTTCCTTATTTGAAAAATATCTGAGCAAAATCTGGCAAGAAAAATTCTTTCCAACGTGTTCATCTATTAATACTACATGTACTGTATTAATCTTAATGTCAGGTAAATGTATAAAATATGTATTTATTGTTTAGCATATGGAAGCATAATATATAAATGTCTGCACAATATCAGTAGGGACTCGTTCTTTGTAAAATCTTGTGTTGATATATTGTCATTTCTATTCAATCACTGAACAGAAACATGCAAAATGTTTTTCGTAATCACTTTGTACTATACCGATAATCTCCACAAACAGGAGAAGATGTATAATGTATTTAGGTTCTATCAAAAGAACATGGCAAAGTATCCATACTTTGAGGTAGTATTCTTGTGATAACCTCATATGCTTAACATATGAATGGTTTTACATCACCATGGTCTGCTACACCGAAATCAAAAACAGAATTAAGGTTCAACCCTAGTGTTTAACAATGATGGTTAAAATGAAATACTGGTTATTAACATGGAACATCTTATATTCTGTTTCCTGTCATTTCAACCATGAACTCATGTGGCACAATAACGTTTAAAATTTATAGTCTTTTTATGCACATTAAAATTAATCAAAAAGAAGAAAGTTATTTTAATAAGATTCGCAGCTCAAAGTTTCCCTGAATTGATCCATGGGCTCTGAACCATAGGTCAATGACACTACATACTATCAGTATTCTTTCTTTGCCAAATTCACAGAATAACTTAAAGGGAAAGTAGAGTCAAACAACACAATGACCCCCTTCAAGAAAAAGCTCCACAAATGTAGGAGAATGCAACTTTTCATCAGTATTATGTAGTCGGCCATCTTGATTCTCAACTTTATTACAGATAAAATCATTTTCTCAATTTCTGACAACAGATTCTATGATGTCATACTTTACCTATAATCTTTTGCTGAAGAATCAAGATGGTGGACTACATAAATTGATGAAAAGTTGAATATTTAGAGAATGAAAAGTGATATAAAAAAATTGTAAATTGCATGTTCTTACATAATATGTTGTTAGCCTTGACTTTCCCTTTAAAATTATCCAACTTTTTGCTCAAGGGTCTTGCATATGTCAATGCTGAACCATAGACACGTATTATGTATTTTATGTATTTATTAATATTGCTGAGAATACGATGTGATTATTATGTACCCTGTGTGATATTCCTTGTTTGCATAGTGTACATTGGATTGGATTTCTTCGAAAAGTTTGATTCTTCTTTTATATATCAGTGTATATGGGTATCACTGTTGAATGGTTTGAACACCCTGACATTTTTGTGTTTGAAGAGTATTAAAATGTCAATTGAAGGTATAGAAAGCAAAATAAAAATTATGGAGAGGGAACTGGATGTTGCCAACAAAAACTACAGTGATCTCGTGGATTGTAATATTATTTTTTCACACTTAGCCAATTTCAAGGGCTCCCTCAAAAATGCAATCTCCTAATTTAAGACTCCAAGTTCCTTAAGTGTGGTAATTATAATGATGCTGTGCTGATGGTAATACAGAGTCCATAGGAGTGAAGGACCTAGTACAAGTGCAGAAACAAAATAAAACTGAGATACATGCAACAAAGTTAATAAGTATCAGTTACCAACAACAACAAGGTGGTGACATCCTTAAAGAATCCAGAAAGCGAGAGGTGGTAGCAGATGAATTAAACAAAACGGATCCAAGAAAATAAAAAAAGTAGTTACCAGTGGCATGGTGATGACTGTAGTTCAGACCCTAGAGAGCAAAAGCTGCTAGCAAGTGTAACCAAGGTTCATGCAGCTCATAAAACAAATTGTGACAAAGAGTATGATGACAGTTACAGTGATGGGTGGGTTCAATTTCTATGAAAGCTGCATGTAAGAAAAAGGGAATAAGAATAACCTCGGGCAAATCACAATATGTTTTTGTGATTACCATGGCATCAAACTCGCAAGGCATCTTTTCAACACACATGGTAACGAATTGGAAGTTTTAACAAGCAGCCAGTAAACCAGCAGTACCACGGGAAAGGCATTTGTTAATTGAAGCGATCAGAAACAAAGGAAACTACAACCATAATCAGAAAAGAAAGGTGAACTACTAGTAATTGTTTATAGATGACATCATCTTCTGGTGTTCCAGCAGCCAGTTACTTGCCATGAAAATAGTGTATAGAACTGTTTGTGGGTGCTGCACTTTGAAGGCATGTGAAAACGTGTTTGCATAAACCATTTACTATCGGTAGCCAGTATATTGAAAATGAGTTCAACAGATGGCGATGTGAATAACCATGATTACATTTGCATACAATTATGTCCAAAATGAATAATGATGACGTCAGTAGAGAGGTTAATATGATAGTTTAATTCAATGTTTTAGATCTAAGTTTTCATTCACTGGGGAAAAGACGGGATGTCAATATCAGCCAAAGAATATGAGAACGATTGCTGATTAAACCCAGGGAGTTTGACAAGATTTTTTATGTAGCATGTTTGACGCACTGTTTCAAGTTCATGTAGTTCTGATTTTGATTACCCTGCCTGTATAATCACCCGACGGCATAGTAATGCTGAACAAGCTACGTTGTATCAAAGATATGCAAATGCAATGTGTTTGAGTCAAAACTTGCGGCGACTGCCTGCTATCAAAAACCAGCCTCAACTATAGTAATCAAATGTTGTCTGACACAAACATTTCTCATAGGCTTAAAGTTGGTGCGCCATCACATGAACTTAAACCAATGATAACACTTACACAGTGCCACAATATATTGAAAAATAAAACATTGATTCCCGTTCCATATGTTGACTTATCAGTTAAGAAAAATAGTTTTGCGTTAATTATTGTGAAAAAAAAGTACTGAAAAAATATTGCACAAGTTTGTGTTGATCATCATTGACATGCATTAACGGTTGCCATATATAGTATATATGTACATATAACATCCAAAACTACAGATATATTGACTGTAGTGTCAGTACTCTTGGTGCAACAAATGCATTTTTATACATCATATTTATAAATTGTACGATTCAAACTAAAACAAGGGGTTTAGACAGATGAAAGGAAAGTTATTTTTGGAGGGGGTATAATAGTTGTGCATGTAGGAAGACTTTTTCATACTGTAAAACATGTTGAAAAAGCGACATGCAATTTTAGCGAATTGTGGTAAAATGACGTAATACCGAATGTTGATTTAGCGAATCGCTCTTGTCCTTGTTGATTTCCTGTTTTCACAATTATTTTTTTTATAATTGTCTGTCGCTAGCAAAAACATATGCACAGTTATCATCTTAAAACAAAGAAAGACGGTCAAGTGTAATTTGATTTTGTTTGCAATGATAAAAAAATGATTTAACAGGGATTTGAAAAAGCGGGTATCGTTGCTACGTTACATCCAGAACATTGACCTTTTATATTGGGACTCAAAAATGTCCGTAATAATATATCAGTTACTGTATCACTTTATTTATTTTCATTGAAATAATGACCCCAATGATAACGTTTATTTGTTTGTGCTAAACTTCTTTTCAATAAAATGTATCTATCATGTCAGCACGACCATTTTGAATGTATAATAAAGTCATTAGTGACATCTTGAATTAGCGAACCAGTTCTCTCGCTAAATTCGCTAAAAAGACATGCTCGCGACATGTTTTACAGTATGTTTAGCTTGAAAGGTACGAACCGAACGTCAGTCGCAACAATCGTACGATTTAATTTGTTTTTATAGCTCCATGCCATGCCATATTTTTATGTTCGATTTCACATAACTTAAAGGGCGGTGGTCGTCTTATAAATTGTGATTTTTGAGATGTATATATTTTCCCGGGAAATTCTTGTTATATAACTTGCTGATAATGTTCTTGAATTTCATAAGAAGGAAAGCAATAAGTAAATAGATATAGATGAATCAATTTATTATAATTCAGTGATTATTTCACCCAGAACTGTGGTTCACTTGTTCAGCTGTGTCGGAAAATTGAGCTTGAGTACAATTTAGGATTCTGACTGAGATTTAGCCAGCCAATGGGATTGTTTTAATTTCAACCAATCAGCTCCTTTATCTTTTCACCAATCATGTACAAGGCCATATTCATTGTAACCATTCATGAACAAGACCAATATTTACTTTGATAATATAAATAGAAGACGAAACGTCTCTTCTTCAGTTCGTTTTTGGTTCGTCTTGTTCGTTCATGATTCATTCATAGTTCGTTTAATAAAATCATCTATTGCAGTCCATACGCGGTTTATTCTTCCATTCCTGAACTTGAACCAACTCTTCTTAACAATTCCCACAAGCTGATAAAATAAATAACCTGGGCTACATAAACAGTCATTGCCACGGTTTTACTTCACATTTCACAAGTTAGAATCATTTGCGTTTTTGAGCGTATTTACAGTAATATATATATATATATATATATATATATATATATATATATATATATATATATATATATATATATATATATATATATATATGTATTTGTTTTGTGGTTTAGTGCTGAATTAGATTTAATACAAATCACAGTCGTTAGCGCTGACTGACAATGAACTCACAACAATAGACAAACGATTGTCAAATGCGTCATATATAGACAGGTATCAGTGAAAGGGTGAGATAATATTGACAAGACACATTCTTCAAAGTAATCATTTTATTGCATTAGAGCTTTCTCTTTGGAAAATAATGCATTGACTTATATTTTAGGCGGAATTTTCAGGAGTAAATTAAATTCAGTTGCCGACAACGGCATCATGATCACAGCATCCTTTATCTATGCGCTGTCTCCATTCCACATGTTTCTATATAGCAAGCACTGGTCGTCTTTCATATCCCAGATGGTTAATGTTTTACCAGTCTCAATAGCCGAACCATCAGCTTTGTGTATGCGATAGGCACCGAGTGAGTAAACATGTCCATCTTCACTTGCTAAACCAGTTTCATGTACATCAATGTTGACATCAATGTACTTTTCAAGATATTTTTTTATGATCTTGGCAATGTCTGAGGTAATGAATAAATATAGAAAACACATTACCATATAAATCACTATAACAACTCAGCAAATCTGCAATAATTAGTCTGCGTTTCGATGATGCTATTTCTATATTTTAAAGACGTGCTTACACGTATACTCCACACTAGACAAACAAGCACCTCTACCTTCACTGTCGAAAACCACCATGTCACATATGTTATGGGGTTATGTTGGTATGAATAAACGATGTTGATATGCAAATTTACAGGCAGTGTTCAAAATTTGACAAATTGACAAAAAAAGAAGATACAATATCACTGAACATCTCACTATATCTTTATAGGTACTTGGATGATGGTCCCATTGTTGTCTAGGTCACTCCAGTCACTAACCTCTAATTCAACTTTTCAAGATTATGTAATCAGTGGCGGCGGCACCGGGGAGAGGGGGGCGGTGCAGTCGCACCCCGAACAAATGTTGGGGAGGGCGTCACCTCCAAGTCAAGCTGAAACCCTTTGTGTCGGCGAAATTTGTCCCTCAAAATGCAAGATACATTGTTTCAGAGGGTCTAGATTTCATTTTTTTCGGCTCGATGGAGAACAACACCCCATGCAAAATTTAGTTATGGATTTTACCTTCTTTTCCAGTTGCAAGTTTTTCTTCTGGAGCCAAATACTGAGCATCAGATCTCATAGTATCTAACATCATCTTCATGTCTTTTGTTCGATATCCTTCACAGAACTGGTCAAACGCATTTTGGACCTTAGTTTTCACATTGGTTTTAGACATGGTTAAACGCAGTCTGTACCTCAAGTTATCAAGTGATGTATACGTGGCGTGTATGTATTCATGTGATATGTCAACCCTTATGTAAAGTTTCAAAGGTTAATTGACGAATGCACATGTTGGGGCCTCGATGTCAGGCTCTTGATAAATTTATCTAATTTCTCTTGATAAATGTAAACACGTGCCTTTTGCTCAACGAAATATACATTTGTTGATTGTAGATCAAAGAGTCCATTGTTTGGTGAGGTGTGTGTCGGTACTTGTCACGACTAATTTATGTTTTACCTCGACTACCTGAAATCCCATCATTCAACGCGGTTTTGGAACACACTTATACTAGCCTCGAAATGCTTTGACGCAGTGGTAACATAAGATAAATAAGAAGGTCATGAAGGTCATATGTGTTGCTCAAAAACTAAAGCTAGATGAAATGCTTCACTCAAATGTCGATTTATCAGGGTGACTGTGTTCATCAGTACACCTTAAGTTACTAAGAACATTTTCTAGATTCGATTGTGGTTGTCATCTCTGAATATATTGAGAATACTACATTGTTTGCATTAGGTATATGGTACATGCTACTTCATAAGTCACAAAAATCACATACTACACACAAACTTTATCCGATAATAGAATTTTAATTGCTTATTGAAATTCACTGATACATTTAAATGTTATGACGTCACGCATGGTCTGATAAGAATTTCAGCTAAAAGTTACAGAACATCATGTATTATTTTCCACTCATGGTATTGTCAGTCCAACCATGTATGCCCAAACTAATTTTCGCGTTGATTTTGGTACGTCTTGGGTGCACTCACCATTAGCAGGCAGCGTTTTAAATTGATCAGACCGACCTTTCAGCACAAAGTAAACAACTCAGTTCTTTATCATTCTCTCGAAAATAATTTTATATCATTTAGGGAATAATTCACCTGTTCTCATCGAATCCCAAACTGCAGATGCCATGGTTGATGTGGCAAGGTCCAAATCCATCTTCTGGCATAATTTCATATAGTATGGAGCAATTCTCACTTCCCGGTTAAAAAGTTTTATTCAAATATAAATGAGTTATTGATAGGTCATTGCAGAACGCAATGACCTATCAAGTCGTAAATATACACATGCATATGTTCCATAATCCAATTAAAACATGGCCGAATAACAGTATTTTTACTAAGAATTGCTAAGAATTCATCAAAATCGAACAATTTGCACTTTCTGGAGCCGGGTAAGTCGTGCATGCTTGTATTTCATTCAAACTTTGTGTGTCTATTGCATGTTGTATCTCTGATATGCCTTGGTCGTTCACATTCATACTGTGAACATGAAGTGCACGTGGATCAAATAAGACTTAATTGGGCGTACATTGAACATGAAGGAATGCCTTTTTTGTATAGTGAAGTACCTAATAAATTGATTGATAAAATACTATTATAGTGACGACAAAAGGTGTGCTGGCAATGAACATTCAAACTGATGTACATTGCATTCCAAATTCCAATTCCAATCCTAAATTTGATTTGCGGTTATTTCGTCAGCGTGGTTGAGCTGAGCTGATTAATTTCACATGTTCCAGACTGATAGGGACTAAAGTGGCGCCTCCTAGTTCAACTGAGTCTTTGCCTAAATCTCTTTTTGTGAACACAAAAAACTGACTTTCAGGCATACATTAATTGGCTGTTTCACTTCAAACCATGCACATGCTTAACACCCAGTTAGTGTTCTTGTGATGATTTTGTGATTAGGCCGAAGATGACCGACTGACGACGATTTTTGTTGTTTTAAAATCAGGTATTTTAACAAATACTCAAAAGTTATTTCAAACTTTGTGAAAAGTTTAATCATTATGGGTGGTTGGTGAGCGTCACCTTAAATTTGCAAATACGGGTTTTCTCTGCTGTTATAATCTACTTCACACACACTTTATAGAAAACACAAATTTATATGCTTATGGTCTTACTAATAAATACAGAATGGGGACTGTACATTCCAAAATGCTTGTTTAATATCTAGATTCTCAAAGAGCAATGATGTACACTAAGTTTGGAAATAAATTACATGTATGTGAACATGACAATTTCTCACGTGTGATATTTTGAATTTGAAACAAATGAAAATTACTCTATTATTTTATGTTGCATAACAAAATGTATTTGTTTACAAATTACTCATAAAATTTCAGTTTTTTTCTGCACTTTAATGCTATATCATGATTCATATTTCAGTCAGTTTGACAGTGGTTGCCATGACATATACTGATAAAGGTTAATGACAAGACCAGATGGCGAGCTGGTCGAAATCAACCAAAAACATCTTATGACTCTGCAGTTTTTAAGATACAAGACAGTAGCTGTAATTCTAAACCAATGTTGTTTGCGATTTTAAACTAAGGTAGTATCTTGGTGGAATGTTAGTGCGAGATTATTACCCCATCAATATTAGTTAGCGTTGACAATGTATAGAAATGTTTTCTCTAGACAGCTTGACGAGTAATTAATTGATTATGATGTGTAAAACTTTCATGTGATTGGTTGTTTGTTGGAAGGAAAGGCCTTGGAGTCTCTTATACTGATTGTAATTGGTTAAGGGGTGACAAGAAATAAAGATGGATTTAATGCTGTCTCGGGTGAAAACCAGGGACTTGGCAGAGAATCGTTTTGGGAACATGAACGAAGCTTGTGTGTGTCTTTTGTTAGCCTAGCGTGGAAACGACCGAATCCCGGTTACCTAAGTGAAAGGTTTTTAACCATCAAAAATACCTATCACACGTGGTGGAGAACCCTTGGGCA